GTGTTATGGTACACATTTTAAATGTATGTATGTTGTGTTAGTCAGGGTTTCTATTGCTGTGAAGAGACACCATGATCAAGGCAAATCTCATAAAGGAAAAACATTTACTTGGGATGGCTTAGATTTTCAGAGGTTTAGTCCATTATCATCATGGTGTGTCATGGTGGTATGTAGGCAGATATAATGCTGGAGAAGGAGTTGAACATTGTATATCTTGACCCCCAGGTAACAGGAAGTTTTCTGAGGACTGGGTGTTGCTTAAGCATATATGAGACCTCAAACATGCCTCCACAATGATACACTTCCTCCAACAAGGCCACACCTACTCCAACAAAGCCACAACTCTTAATAGTGCCACTCCCTATGAGCTTATGGGGGTGGGTGAAGGGGGGCAATTACATTCAAACAACCACATATGTTGTATAATCATAGTATTTCTGTATATGATCTTCTTAACGTCTTCTAAATTCTTAAATTTAGTTTCTAAGAATTTTGTTAAAAGTTTTTCTATGTTCACCATGGAAATTGGACTCTTCTTTTTAAAAAAAAATATTTATTTTTGAGATTATTACATCATTTTCTCCCTTCCTTTTACCCTCTTTGTAGACCGTTCCATATGCCTCTCCTTGCTCCTCTTCAAACCCACGGCCTCTTTTTTCATTAATTGTTGTTACATGTATAATTATATATGTATAAAATATAAACTTCTCAGTCTGATTAATGTTGCATGTATGTTTTTATGAATGACCATTTGGCATTGGATACTTCCTGGGAAAGATTATTTCTTTTACTCTCAGCTTTCCTTAGTTGTCTGTAGTTCTTTGTGCAGTGTTGGGGCTCATGATCTTTCTCTTATATAGTCTTATTCTTCTTCTTTTGTGTTCCTGTCATGTTTTGATGTAGGATAATGCTAGCTTTGGAGAATGCATTGGTAGTATTCCTCCCTTTTCTAACTCATAAAATGGTTTGTGGGCTGGGCAGGTGCTGTCATCCCCCTGACACTCTTCAAACTGTACCCTTGCAACAGCTAATGCTCAAGCTGGGTAGTGTCTTCCAAATATGTTGGGAGTCTGGGAGGGAAATATAGTATCAAGATCTTCAGAAGCAGAGGACCTTTCAAGACTGTCTCAGTTTGTATTCTACTGCTGTGAAGAGACACCATACTCATGGCAACTCTTATAAAGGAAAACATTTAACTGGGGCTGGCTTACAGTTTCAGAGGCTTTATCCATCATTGTCATCATGAGAAGTGTGGTGGCATGCAGACAGACATGGTACTGAGAGTTCTACATCTTAATCTGCAGATAGCAGAAGAGACTGTGTACCACACTGTGGGTAGCTTGAACATATATGAGGCCTCAAAATTCTTCCCCACAGGGTCACACTTCCTCCAACAAGGCCACACCTACACCAACAAGGCCACACCTCCTAAAAGTACCACTCCCTATGAACAAGCACTCAAACACATTATTCTATGGGGACCATTGTAGCTGAAAGTTTTCCTGTGTCCCACCCGGTCCACAGCTGCTTAGACCCAAGTAAATACACAGAAGCTTTTATTAATTAAAACTGCTTGGCCATTAGCTCAGGCCTACCACTGACTAGCTCTTACACTTAAACTCAGCTCATTTCTGTAAATTTATGTAGCCACATGTTCTGTGGCTTTACCTGTGTGCCATTACATGCTGCTCCCTGGATGGCAGGCTGGCATCTCCTGACTCAGCCTTCCTCTTTCCAGAATTCTCCTTGTCTGCTTATCCTGCCTATACTTCCTGTCTGGCTACTGGCCAATCAGCATTTTATTTATCAACCAATCAGAGCAACACATTCACAGCATACAGAACATCCCACAGCAGACCATACTTATTTAAACCACCACAATGACCTCCCAAGTATTCACCACTCTTTTTGAGAGATACAGCTGTAGATATCAAGTCAACTACTGGAGCTGCAGAGTTTTAGGGTTCTACAGCAGACAGATGCCTCCAGAATTTACCATATTCACTGATCCCAGGCTCAGGATGATCAAATGCTAGACCTATTCTCTGTTGATAAGATCTGTTCTGTGTATTTTCTTTTATTCTATTATTCTCCTTTACCAGGACATACTGGTGCAGCTTCTAGCCCTCCCTTCTACTTAGAAGTCTGAGGCTAACTGTACTTAGCCTATACTTAACCTTTTTTTTTTTCTAATACAATTATCTTGAGGTCTCTTCAGTTGACTTTGTTTTCTGTTTCTTTTTTTCTCCATTTTCACACACTATTGTTTAGGTTTTGTTTTTTAAATTTGGAGAAAGGATCTTACCCTGTAAACCAGGCAGGACTGGATCTTGATATAGGCTAGCCTTGAACTCATGGTCTTCCTGCCTCAGACTAGAGGGACTGCTCCTCACAGCTGTGTATGTTGTTTCACCCTGGTAATTTTAGTGGCATGCTTTAATGTGAATACTTGACATCCTTTTATTATAGCAGAAGAAAATCTGCAGATTGTTGGCAAGATGCCTTATTCTTGAATCACAGCACTCAAGAGTCTGAGGCAGGAGGATTGCTGAGTTTGAGAGTAGCTTTGGTTATACAGTGAGTTTCAAGTCTGCCTGGACTACAGGGCAGTCCTGTCTCCAAAATCCAAAACCAAACATAGGCTGAGTCAGGAGAATTGTCTTAACTCAGGACTTTAAGATCATCTTGGGGTATATGATAAGGTGCCCCCTCCATAAAAAGAGAAAACATAAGTAAAAGTGTATTATCATAGAGTTTTAAAAGATACTGGCATTAAGTTTTCAATTTTATGGACAAGGGAACAAAGATGATTGTTATGACAAATAGAATAGGCATGCGGGAGAAAAATTTTAACATCGAAAGACAAGTTTTTCTATAAAAATTAACAGAAGCAGTAGGCTACAATTAAGCAATATTTGGCTTCATACAAGACAGCAAGGATTGATCTTTTATACTTATTCGAGTCAATATATATTTGGCACATTTCCAGAAAGATTTTGGCTGGGAACAAAAGCCTACAGAGAGGTTTAAATACTATGGTGCTGACATGAAGTGACAAATGCCAGGCCCTTCTGTCTGTCACTCTCCCAGGCAAAGAAAACAAAGCGGGGACCCAAGGGAAGAGTGGCATGACCACGAGAACACACAATTTTCTGGCTTTTGTCATGATGTCACATGGTGTGTTTCCTTTAAGATATGCTTTTTGTATTTTCTACAAACCTCTCACGGATCTGGGGGCAGGTGACAAGCAGTCTGGGAAAAGCTGGAAAAAAAATAAAATAAAAAAATAAAGACAGTGATGAAATTTAAAAATATATCCCTTAATCAGTCATATTGTGTGACATGAGACCTGTCAGCATAGGCAGAATGCTGATATGGTAGGAGAGACACGGAGAGGGACGGGAAACTTCAACCTTTCATCAGCGGTACTTGGGCTCCGAGCTGGTGGAGAGCAGAGCCAGACTTTGCAGGCTGATTCCTCCTTCAGTACCATTTGTAGCTGATAAAAGATAAGAAGGAGGTAAGAGACTGGAAAGGGAAAAAAAAAAGAACCAACCAAAAAACAGTAAGTAGCAAGTGGTACAAAATACTGTTTGGCTATTTTATCCAGGGTTTCTTCAAAATGTTTGAAGAAAAATTGCCAGAGTCGGGTAGCTGTGTTATTGATCATCGAAGGACATGTGACATGACACCAGCCTTCACCGAAGTGCTCTTTGGATTTGATCACTTTGCGGTCCGTGGTCCAACACGGAGTGCTGCTTACACAGTACAGGCTCGCTACGTATCCGAATGAAGTTCTCACCTGGTCTTTGACACCATCGATGAATCACTCAGGTCTGTGACCTGTGAATATCACATCCGACTAACTTAGGATGCTTATTGCTTCATTTTTCTGAAAACTTTATGCATCTGCAGGCAAAAGTAGGTAAGTTGTCAAATGACGTCATTAAGAGTCTTTTTGTACCTTTTGATTCCGCTTTTCTATGTTTCCTATATTGGCAGACAGTTTTCCCCTACATAGTGGCAAACACCGTACCTAGTAGATTCAGGATCATGTCTTAACAGCTCATGAGCGCCAGTGTTAAGAGACCATCTTTTTCTCAAAGTTCCAGCAGAAAATTTCACTTATTCTTCTTGAACCAATTGTCACTAGAAGAGGAAGGAAGGACTGACCACTCAGGCTGTGTCCAGTCCCCATTTCAGGAGTGAGGTTTGGCATCAGAAGGATGGAGGCCTAGGACTCTGTCAAACCCACACAAACAACAGGCTGAGTATAAAGGGCCTAGTATGCCTATGGAAAATGACTGCCACAATCATCCTGCCTTACCATCTCTGGTACAACCCATGCTCTTTATTGTCAAGATGTCTCCAGACCCATAAGGGAAAACAGCTGTATGTGAATAGTTAAATATGGAATTACAGTTAGAATGTTTAAGCAATATCTTCAAAGTACAAATACCTTATTTTAAACCTTCTCTGAAAACATACATATACAACACACATATACAAACCAGTGCTGTTTGCACAAATCTTATCGATTGTACATCAGTTTCTACTCTTCAAATAAAAAAAAATGTCTAGAAAAGTTAGCAGGACACAGAACTGTATGACCAGACCACCTGTGCCACAGAATCAGCAAATTATAACTAGTGTCTACATGTAATAGATTGCTTTACACAACATTTTTACTGCGAAGCAGAGAGATCTCTCAGTGTTTACCCAGTTAAAACAGGACAATCCCACAATAGATTTAATAGGGAACATTTAATATGAAGAAATCCTAACTATGGCAGAGGTTAGTATTCAAGGGGTGGCCAGTCAACATCAGAAAGCCTAAAGACTAGAAGCAGAGTCTGAGGAGCAGTCTCACCACATGGAGATTGAGTTAGGAAGCTCAAGGGACAGTACTCCCCCAGCTTCATTGGGAAGGCTTCACGTCTTGGCTCACTGGATAAAAGAGAAGTTACTATGATGTCACAGAACAGCACTTCCTGGGGAAACGCCTTTCAGAGAGCCAAGGAAAGTTGTTCAGGAGGTCTCTGTTGTCTAACAGTGTCCTCGGAAACTGAAACATTCCACCCTGCAAGGAAGCTCCATAAACAGGAAGGTAAACTGCTCAAAATAGCTCCAGGCAGTCCCTGAAACTGACAAGATTCACCAGGTCCCTCCCTGTCAGATTAAGTAATAAAAGTGGAGAGTCCCACACAGACAAGACAAGATGCAAGGAAGGCGCTGGAACCAGACCATCTGCCTGAAAGAAGCAGAAACCAGCCGAGCTGCGTGAAACAGGTTAGACTAACTGAAGTGCCCCGAAAGGACCCTCTCCATCCTGCTGAGCTGCCTGCACGCTGTGCAGTGTGCTCCAGGTTCCCCAGCTTCTGTGAGCTGTCACTGGTGCTGGGGTGGGCGTTGGTGATGCAGCTGTCTTTGAGTCATTTCTGCTCCTGTAACTCCTCACTCCTACTCCTGTAAATAACCCCAGTAAAACTCTGGTGGTATCTGCACTTTGTCCTGTGATGGGCTTCCTATTTGGCATGAGTAGATGTGTGTGTGTGTGTGTGTGTGTGTGTGTGTGTGTGTGTGTGTGTGTGTTGCATCTCCCCAGGAAAAGTTTTGTCACACAAGTGTCTCCCAGGAGGCACCCCACAACAAAAGCACATACTGGGGAAAAAGAGCTTTCTAGTCTCATTGTCACTTTGCCTTTCAGGAACTGGACGTGGCAGATGTCACAATGTCACAATCCTATAGGAATTAGAGACCTCCTGCCACAAAGAATCTGGAAGGGGTGGAGAACTGCAGGTAGGAGCTACTGCCCGAGGACTACTAAGGACTGTGCACAGCAGACACCGGACACCGGTACTGCCAGGACTTCAGGAGGGAGGTCTGGGAGAAACTGGGAATGAAAGGAGCAGGAAGCTGCTGAGTGTGAGACCTGTGATCAGGAGACCGAAATCAAAACAGGAGCCACATCGTTATGCCTTGTCATGAAGTTTCCAGAACTTACAAGAATACGTTTCTGTTCCCTGGGCCAATACTATCCTGCGTGTTTTTCAACCTAGGCTAGACTTGTTACCCCATGATGTACACCCACCCCTTTTGCCTTGCGAAGCCCCTGAACAACTGTGATGACTCCCCTATCACGTGGTATGTTCTTGCATTTATCTATCCCACAGGCAGCCTTGAGCCAGAGTCCGATACTCTTTTGTTCAGGTGCTAACAGCCAATTATCTCAAATGCTGTTGTGTGTCAACCCTAACTCTTCCCCCATAAAATGGATCTCAAAAGCCAGTGAGGGGCTGCTCTCTGAAATCCTGACTTGGGCTCTGGGGAGGGGGGCAGTCCTTTGGGAAGTCCCCTGTGCATGCACTTCTCAATAGAGCTTGTTTTAATCACAGTCCTGGAAAGGTTTTTTATCTCGGGTCTAACAGAGACAAGACCCTTTTCTCTCGGTGAGTGTCTTCATCAGCTCGTACCATAGAGCTTCATAGAAGAGAAACATATTTTAAAAGTCCTAGATCCATTTTCCTAAAGCAAAAAGACCAGGTGAGCACATAACTGAGACTCCACACACACACACAATCGGATAGAAGCACTGCTTATGTTCATTTTGGTGCTAGGCATGTGCACACCTTCTTCATAACCATTGTTTTCTTTATTTTTCTTTTTTGGTAGAGATGGTGAGGATGAACATACAGCTCTACCTCTCAGGAGTTGGGGTGTGCACTGCTCTTCTTAAACATCGCTGGGCCAGCTAGCTATAAGGGAAGAAAGTGAGAAATGACCAACCAGGGTGGATTTTAGAGGCAGGAATCAAGTTTCAGTTGTTATTTATTCTGTAGGATCATTTTGGTAATGATCCAACGACGTTATTTCCACATTACTGTTAGAGAGAATGACTTTGAGTTTGCCGAGATGGTTCACTGGCAAGTATGCAGACCTGAGTGTGAATTTCCAGTACCAGCTAAAAGCCTGACATGGCTGCTTGGGTCACTAACCCCAGTGCTGGGCTTGGGAAAGGTGGAAACAGGCAGACACAGCCCAGAAGGTTCAGCCTGAAGCTTCAGGTTCCACAGAACTCTAGGGAAGACCTACAGCATTAAGTGAAGTGAGATTCCCCTCCCTCTAAGAACAGTTCACTCATTCATTGGGGTTTCTTACTTTAGAGAAGCAATGAGAATACAGTACTGATCCCATAGGCTTCTTCAGTTACTAAATAGCTTATGTTGGGCTTTACCTTTTTATCGGCAATACATATTCAATAAGTTGATTATAATTACAATAATTTGATTAAAATATTAAAAGATTTTTGGGTGTTTTTATAGCAGAGATATTAAATATGTTTTGAGATGACTATGCAGTCTCATAAGTTTCTTATACTAGAGTTTTGCCTCTTCTTAAATTGCAATAAAAAGCCAGAGTACTATTTATATTCTCCATGGAAAAGACTCATCATAAGTAGAAATGCTAATGTTCTCTATACTAAATTTATATTATAAATTCTTCAGTATCTTTATCTAATTGGGCATTTTCTATTAAAGAAAGCATTTTTTTTTTTAAATCATAGATGAGACTAGAAATTATTACTTTGGCCACCAGATGGAGCCAATATTATTTCAGAAATGAGATGGATACTGATAATTTTCACACTTTTTCATTGTCTACTAATCCAGGAGTTATATTTGATTCTGAGGTTTGTGAAGGATTCCAGAATTAGAGCTCATTAATGAAATATGTTCTCATTAATTGAAAGCTATGTCCATCATTTTCTACAAAGAATCATCTAAACTTCTTAGGAGTAAAATGAAGGGATTGTTTAAGACGACACAGAGTGGAATTCTATAAAACAGGCTGGGATTGTTCTGTCTATGCCGTTCAGATGTCATTGTGGCATCTAGAAATCATTCTTTGGTGTCTCATTTTTCATCATCACGGAGTTCAGTGCTGTTGTTATATATGAGAATTTAAGGTATATTTTAGGAACAAGAAGTATTAATTAAGACAAAAAAAATGAGATTCAAAGGACTCTTAAAATGGTTTCAATTTTGAAAGCCTAGTGAATATCTGTACAGAGTAACACTGAGCAATGTTGACTGAGAGATGTAAATTTATGTGCTTGAGAGGGGAGCCTGAGGCTTCTTCAAGGCCTGAATAACCCTAAGTCAATTCCCATCAGGCAGACCTAGACGTTTTCACAAATGTTAAAGTTGCTTGTAAAAGTTGAATGTGTAAAAAGAAAAGTTAGAATGTGTAAAAATTGCAATGTGCTCAAATTAAATTTCTAAAAATGTGATATTCAGGACAACTTTTAGTATGTGGAAGAAAACACACACACATATGTAGTACTAAGCATGTATTCATGCATGTATGTATCTTTCCTTATGTTTCCTTGAGTTATACCTTTATTTTTACTTCCCATCACCTTTTCATATGCTAATTATGTCTTCCAAAAGTTGACTCATATGTGTGTGCATGTATGTATGTGTGTACTTCATGTATGTATGCCTGCATGCATATATGCATGTGTGCATGCATCCAGGTATGTGTGTGTATGCATACATGTTTTGTGTTCTATTCACACACTCTGACTACATCAACAAGAATGTCCAATCTGACCACGGTATTACTGGTGAAAGGGACATTGGAGCTGAAAGGTACCTACTTACAGAGTAGTAGGAAATGGTTAATTTAAACCAAGACTGAGCTATCCTCTTGGGAAGATTGTGTGTGCTGGTGGCCAGGTGCTGAGGAGTTCAGCAACCTTTCAGAGCTAGCAACCCCAAGAAATGGAATCCACACAATTAGTCTAAGCCTGTAGTGTGATAATGGATTTGACAATGATTTCATGCCTAAGAGGCCAGAGGGAAGCTGTAGGTGAACAAGAGGAGAAGTTGAGTGTTTGATGTATAAGCTTAATGGGCATAGATTTGAAGTATCATGTGGTTCCTAGGTGACTATCAATTATAATATAAAAATAAGGGTTTGCTGTTGCTAGGTTTGTATCTAAATAGAATGTCCATTGACCAGGTTAATGGAAAATAAATTCCATTCAGGGAGCTGAATCTATAAATGTGAAATTAGGGCATGAAAAAGGCTGAGAAAAAAACACACACACACACACAAAACAACAATGACAAAAACCAAGGAAGTAAAGCTAAGAATCTGGACTCAGGAGTGAAACTGTGCGTTCTTAACCAACACTGCCTTTCCTAAGCTTTTGTCCTGACTGTGGGCCGAGGCGAAAAAATTCAAGCTACAGTCTTCATTTGATTCTCAATGTCTCTTCCTCCTACTGAAAAGTAAAAGTGATACCACTGTAAGGTCTTAGGAATGATATCCAACCTCAGGTTATTTCTTTATATATATTATATAAAATTAAGAAATTTTCTACTCACCCTACATACTACCCACAGATCCCACCTCTTCCTACCCCCCAAGCCTCCCCCGATCAATCCCCACATCCTCAAAATCAAGGTCTCCCATGGGGAGTCAGCAGAGCCTGGCACACCGAGTTGAGGCAGGTCCAGGCTCTCCCCACCGCACCAAGGCTGCTCAAGGTGCCACACCTCAGGCAAGGGGCTTCCCAAAGCCTGTCCATGCAGCAGTTTGAACTAAACACCTGTCTCCTATATCCAGAGGGCCTAGTCTAGTCCCATGGGGGCTCCACAGCCTTTAGTCCACAGTTCATGGATCTCCACCAGTGTGGCTGGTCATCTCTGCATGTCATCCCATCATGGTCTCCTCTCTGTGGAATCCCTCCTCTCTTCATTCAATTGGATTCCTGGAGTGCATTCACCTCCATCAGTCAATGAATAAAGGCTCTCTTAGTCCAATCAGGTGCTGGCAGGCTCTCCCAACCTCAGGTTATTTCTTATAGGAACTACTTGAGTACCAATTGTACAGCAGAGTACAATTCAGAGGAGGTAGGTGTGTCCTATTTAAGGAGGCAGCTAGTATTCCATACTTCCACACAGTCTTCCAGGAGAGAGGTGTAGAGAAGAATGGTCACCTTCTAGACATGCATCTAGCAAGTGGCTTGCTTAGGCTTTGCTGTTCAATGGAGGGATCCTTCAGAATGTTGTTCTAGGAATGGTAGTGTGAACGAGAGTCTGTCCCACTACAACCTTCTTAAGCCCTGTTTGAAGGACAAGACTATCTCTCTGTGGGCATTTCCCTGATCAGGAACTTTGATGTGCAGAAGAGATTTGCAAATTATCTGTCAGAAATACAATTACGCTTAAAGCAGGATTTCTGAACATTCTTGACTTACCACAAAGATACTTCCTTTACTTAGAAGGTAGAAGAAGCAATAGAAAGATTGGAGGCTTTAGCCTTTGAACAGATAATGTACTAGGGACAACAACCAGATTGTAAGATACGGTTCAGGGAGGGATGCTGGTAGTGTGATACCCCAGCAACTGCACACATGACCTGGATGTATGAGCTGGCTCAGATAGGAGTTCCTGAAATGAAGTGTCAGTCTTTAAGAAATATGCAAAGACTTGTGGTACCATTTTGGGAACAGGAGATTGAATTTAAGATCTTAAACATAAAGACTATACTTTCCAATACCAAAAGTGGCCAGGAACAGCAGCCCACTGAAGTCACACATCCTTGTAACACATTAGGGTTTCTTTGTTCTTATAGAGAAACACCAGGTACCTAGGAAAGCAGTTGATTCCAAACCTGGACCTAGATGATAGAAAACTCAGGCTGAGGAAAGAGCATCTTGTAGTTCCAGAAAGAAAGGAATCTTTATTTTTTATTTTTATTTTTATTTTAGGATGCTGAGCATAGGGCTAAAGAATAAATGAGGACACTTAATGAGACTTTTTTTTGACCAACTTGATGATTTGATTAGAATGAAAAGAAATAAGTGACCAATCCATGAAAATTCAGAATAGTCAATATAAAGGAAAAAATTCTAACAGAGAAGAAAAGAATATTGGTATGTGCTTTGTTTTACTGTTTTGATTAGTAGAGAGAATATCTCTATCTATATATCTATATACTATATAAAGACATATATTTCTACATATATGTAGATATAATGGTTTTGTTATGAATTTATAATCATATAGGAGGTGATGTGCTTCCTTTTTTTGTGTGTGTGAGTGAAGCAAATAGACTTGGGAAATATAAGAAGTGGCTATGGACTTTTGGTATGTTTAGGTATGCTGAACTGCCAGGTCAATTGTATTCTCACATGGATCAGAAGTGGTGGTTCACACAACTACCAAGTAGAAGAGGAAAAGCATCCTTGCTGGTAGAAGTAAGGCAATCTAACAAGACACAGGAGTCAACAACTGAGCAAGCGCTGTGTGTTGTCTTCTAGGAGGGGAAACCATAGGAGTATTTCTAATAATATAATTATAATAAAGCATGTTTGAGCTTTTGATAACTTAACAAGCCAGCTCTACAGAGCAGGCTGAGTTGACTTTGAGTGAACATGCTAAGTTTTAAATAGTAAAACAGAGAGAAGATTCCCCGCTGTAAGAAATTGAGAAGAAAGCATGAAATTTAAAACTTATTGTGACTTCAATTATAAAGTCCAGATAAAGAGATAATAAAAAACAAAGCATTCAGATAGCCTGCCTGGCAGTTTATAGCCCTTTCAGTTTGGAAGAGGCAGTAGGACTTCTCAGCCCAGACTGACTGGTTGGTTGCCAAATCTTGGAGCATGAACAACCTGAGGAGTTCAGGGAGGATGGAAAGCAGGGTGGGTCAAAAATGTCAAACAAAATAATGGGGAAATATCAAACAACGAAGACATCGAGTAAAGCAACCCAGGGTCTTTATGTTTGCAAAGTAAGTGTAAATATAGAAATAAATATTATTTTCACTTGTCTGTATAGATTTTGCCTCTCAATTTTGTAGTTTAAGAATATTCAAAAGAAATAATCATGGTAGATTTTTAATTATTGTTTAAATGTTTTAAGAGATTTTAATGAAGACTTCAGTGTTTAACTGTTTCATAAAGTTATTTTTCATAGTTTTTGGTAAGCAGGCATAAGTTTAAAACACTTGACACTAGATACAATAAAAAATAATGGTGGATATTTCTTTTGAAGAAGCAAAGAACCCTTCCAGATATTAATTAACCTTTCTAATGATTAAGTTCTAATGATTAGAAAATTAGCATTTGGCTCAGAGACTACTTCAGCTCCAGCCCTGGGAAATGGGGCTATAGTGAGATGAAGCTCTCTGCCTTTCACATGTCATTTTCCTGCTTCTCCTTCATCTGAATGGACAGCATGGCTCTCCTGGGGCTGGGACTTACCTGTGGGTTGGGTGAGTGAGAAAGCAAATGGGCAGGCAGCTCAGCACGCTAATGGAGGCTCTGCGTGCTCACATTTCAATGCATGTTCCAGAAGCTGCCCATATTCTGCATCAGCAGCTTTTTCATTCAGATTCCAAAGCCAGCGCTTGATTCATTATCCCCAACGAACGGCACTTTACTCTTTTTGAGAAAAATCTTTTCCTTGGAGTGCAAAGATTTTCAGCACTGAGCACTGATGAACAAGGAGGTTCTTTTGTATCTCAATAACCTCATTTTCATGGGGGAGGGGCCTCCTTTTCTGAGCCCTCCGGGAAAAGCAAGCAAATGATTTTGTTTTTCATAATGTCCCCACTGTCCTTCCTGCAGTTAGCTCACTAGAGCTAGTTTCAAAGGGTTAGGAGTTATTTTCAATAAAGGTCAAAATATTGAGGTTCCAGCTGGAACAGCCACAGAGTGGGAGAGAGAGAAAAGAGATACCATGATAAATGAAGACATCATGGGAATAGGGAGAAACAGGGTACCAGGGAAGTTCCCAGGAATCCACAAGGATAACCCCACCTTAGACTACTAGCAATAATCGAGAGGGTGCCTGAACTGGTCTTCTCCAGTAATCAGATTAGTGAATACACCAACTGTCATCATAGAGCCCTCATCCGGTAACTGATGGAAGCAGATGCAGAGATCCACGGCCGGGTACCAGGCCGAGCTTCAGGAGTCCAATCAATGAGAGAGAGGGGGGATTCTATGAGCAAGGGGCATCAAGATCATGATGGGAAAACATACAGAGACAGCCAGCCAAACTAGTGGAAACTCATGAACTGTGAACCAATAGCTGAGGAGCCCCCATGGTACTGGACTAGGCCCTCTGGACAGGCAAGACAATTTTTCAGCTTAAACTGTTTAGGGGGCCCCCAGGCAGTGGGACCGGGATCCATCCCTGGTGCGGTGCATAAGCGGGCTTTTTGGAGCCCAGTGCCTATGGTGGGACACCTTGTGCAGCCTTGGTGCAGGGGCAGGGCCTTGGACCTGCCTCAACTGAATGTACCAGACTCTGCTGACTCCCCAGAGGAGACCTTGCCTTGGAGGAGGTGGGAATGGGGGTTTGGTTAGGGGGGAAGCCTGGGGGCCGGGAGAAGGAGGGAGGAGAGGGAGGTCTGCGGTTGGTATGTAAAATGAGTAGAAAATTTCTAATAATAAAAATAATTTTAGAAAAGGTCAAAATATTTTTTACCTTAAGTCTTGATTTGGCCCAGGGGATTTTTTTTTTTTATTTTTTATTTTTTTTGTGATGGCCACCCGTAAGCACTGTGTGCTGCAGAATATACTTAAGAATTGTGGTCACTTTTGAGTCCTTTCCACTCCCAGGGTTCTGAAGTCACCAGAGGGCAAAGAGTGGATCAGTAAACAGGAAGCAAAAATAAATACAGTGGAAGTTAAACAAGCCCCATCATTTACACAGTAGTGAACAGCGGACAAAGTAAAGCCGAAGAAAACGAGCAAGCCGCGTCTCCACCAAACACGCCAACAAATGGAAACAAGGTCTGAGGGAGGAGAGAAGAAGTCTGCCTCCGTGAGTTTGCGCCACTAACGGTGGGGTGGTCGGTGGTCGGGAGCAACCTTTTCCTCTGAGAGAAAAAGTTCCACATTAGAAGGAAAGGGATGTTCTAAAGGGAGGCTCCTTAGGAGTCAGGAAGTGAGCAATTCAAAAGCATCAGGAGGTCCCTGCAAGGGACCAGCTGCGCAGGCCTTTCTCTCCACCAGCTTAAGCAAGCAGTAAGGAATGCGGAGAGGCACTCTCAGATAAGCAGAGCTGCCTAGGAGACACCAAGGACGACTAAGCTGCCTGGAAGACAGAGGCCAGCTGAGCCATGTGGAAGGGGCTCAGACCCACTGAGCAGCCTGGAAGCTGTGCAGGGCGCTCCAGGGTTCCAGCAGTCATGAACCGTCATCCATATTACAGTGCGGTTTTGGTGATGCAGCTGTATTTGAGCCATAGAGATGACTCAAAACTCCATAGAAATGACTCAAATCTATAAGCAACAGCTCTCCCATATTCCTGTAAACAACCCCAGTAAAATTCATTGGTTCACCAAGTTGGGTTCTCATGGTGTTACCCTTACTCTGGTCTGTCACCAGTGTCCTATCTGTAGCGGGTGGATGTTTATTTACATCTCTCTGGGATTTGGTCACACAACACCACCAAAGCATGTGCAGTTCCTGGGCTCTGCCTTTCTCCTGCCAGGATGGCATAATAGGGCTTTTAAAGGTCACGCTGAGGACTGAATGAGGTTGTACAGCGTATAATGGCTAATATGGTAGCTGGTGTAGTAATTGCTAAATAGATGGTAGATGCTCCTGTGATTTTCATACATGCAATATAAAATGTTCTTTTTCAAATAATCCTCAGGAAAATGAAATTCTTTCAGGTTTTTATGTTAAAGAGCACAGCCATGCTCTGAAGCTTAGTTTACTAGAAATAAAGTAATACAGTTGATTAAACTCCCCCAAATGTCTAAATGAGACCAATTTTAGATGCTACTATAATTTGATTACATAGAAATACTTGAATTCTTGGTAAAGTCAGGGTACATCCACAAGGGACAGGTCATCCACTAGAAGTGCCTTAGAAGTGGCTGGCTTTGGGGAAATTACACCACAGTAGAACCAGTGGCCATGTCTGGACCACCGAAGACCGATCTGTGCTGAGAGTATATTCTTTCAGAAGGACTCAAGTATAAGAAGATGAGAAGAACAGCGGATTTGCAATGGGCACAATCTGCATGTTTCATTTACCCTAACCTTACTCTGAAGCAAGCCTGGTAACAGGTAACATCATATTCTGCTTTTGGCTTGAGTAGGAATCAAAGAAAGAGAAACGGCTGATAATGGCGACCAGTTTGGCGATTGCTGGGTACCAGATGTTGAGGAAGCAACATCTCAATCAACAGGTTCACTAAGGTCCACATGGTCAGAACCATCCAAGGCCACTTTCATCCTGGAGGAAACCAGAAGGTAAAGTGTTTATGGAGCAAGCATGGCCAGCCACTAAGAGGCAGAGCTGGGTTTTTTTGTGTTGTTTTGTTTTCATATTGATATCTATAAGGTCTTTCTTGGCAGCTCGGGCTCTCTCCTGCACAGTTCACACATGCACATAGCCTTTCACAATACTCTTGTAGACTTTCAAAATACATCCAGATTATGATTTCCCAGCACTCCCATTCCCAGGAAATGACCATGAAGCCAACCATCTTGCACTTGCATTCTGAAATCATCCTTTCAGCAGCCCACAGCTGATGTCTGCTTTTGATCTTGTGTCTTTTTTTCCCCTCCTTTTCATTCGTTCTTTGTGTCTTTCATTTTCTGTATCTTCATCCCATTTGCTTCCCTGTCCTTTTATATCCACCCTCTGGCCTTGTAATCTCTCCCCCAATATAAATCAAAATAAAATAAAATTTAAGAGAAAAAAAGAAGAGAAGGGAGGAAAATCAATCTTGTCACGAAAGTTGTAGTGTGACACAGTGAGTCACACAGTAAACCCTTTTGTCCATATATCTTTCTTGCAAGTGTTCATTGTGAAGAGTCATTGGTCTAGTTCAAGGCCTCTGGCTTCTGCTACACTATTGGTACTGGGTCCTCACTGGGACTCCTCTGGGTTATACTGCTGTTGCCCTGTGTTGTGGAGATCCTGCAGCTTTGAGTCTGCAGGACCGGTCCATCCTCTCCCCTCACATGCTCCAGAAGAAGATCCCCAGTTTTCCCACCCCTCTCATTCTGGCCTCCATCGAGTTCCCCACATCTTCCTGTAGTTGCTCAAACCATGAACTGATTTTTCCCCAGATGGAGGCCTGCAAATTCTCTTAGTTCCTCCAGTCACTTCTCAAATATCATTGCTGATCAAAAACTTCTCAGCCATCCCAGTTAACAACGCCTTCTCTTTGGTGGTTTGCATGAGGATGGCTCAGATGTTTGAATACTTGGTCCCCAGCTGGTGGCACTGTTTGGATAGCTTTAGTAGCTATGGGCTTGTAGAAGGAAGTATGCCGTGGAGACAGGGGGCAGGGTTGGGGCCAACTTTGTGGTTTCAAAGCCTCATACTTTTGTCAGTTTGCTCTTACAAAGCCTCGTGCTTACAATTCCAGATGTGAGCCTTCAGCTCCTGCCACGCCCTAAGCATTGTTCCACCATCATGGATTCTAACCCTCTGGAACCATAAACCCAAATAAACTCCTTCTTCTGTATATTGCCTTGGTCTTGGTGATTCATCATAGCAGTAGAACAATAAGTAATACACTACCCTTCCTCAAAAAAAAAATCCCAATTATTTTTTGTACAGTGTTTGTATTCATTCCTTGAGAATTTAGAGTGTATTTTGATAATGTTTACCTACTTCCCCCAACTCCTCGGAGGTCTATCCACCTCTCTCCACCCCTCCCAACTTAGTGTCATTCATATGTATGTATATATCTCTCACCAGGTTCAGTTCATGCTGTCTTTATACTCACAGGTGTGGGGTCATCCACTGGACCATGGACAACCTATGAAAGGCCACATCCCTGAAAAAAAAAATTGACTTTCCCTCCCCTGGCAATCATCAATTGCCAACAGCTCTCAGCTAGGCGTAGTACCTTTTGAGCCCCTCTCCCATCAACATTAGAGTGCTAACTAGATTCATCCAGTGCAGATCTTGTGTAAGCAGCCCCAACTGCTATGAGTTCATGATAACAATAGTCCTGTCATTTTTAGAAGACACTCTTTCATAACAGTTCTTCCCAATCTCTATCTCCTAGAAAAATCTTTCTTCACTCTATTTTGTGATTTTCCTGGAGCCCTGCATGCTCCCACTGGGGGCTGAGAACTTCACAACCACTTGTCCTTTGCACTCTGGCTAGTTGTGAGTCTCCACATCAACTGTCATCTACTCTGAAGCCCTGGTTCTGGTACATGGTCATCATCTCAGCAACTGAGGGCCCAAGGGCTCAGATGTGCTATGCAAATGCCCTGTTTCTTCAGAGGCTTCTCAGATGACTAAAGCAAGGCTAGCATTCTCATTTCTAATCTTGACTCCATAGTTTGTCCTAACAAGCTCTCCATTGATAGAGAGAAAAGTCTTTTATGTAAGAGACAATTCCGGCATACCAGGAGTCAGCTCTTCAAGGGTGATTTCTTGTTTTGCTGTGTTCTCCAAAGTGTTATCTTCACTCCAGTTTCTAAGGAGGGCCATATTTCATGGTATCCTATGAAGAGCCAATACCTTAGTTACCATAAACTATGAAATCTGATGACGTCCACTGCTTTCTTCAAGTCAAAATTCTCTGATATCAGGACAGCATTTTGTTTTGGTCAAACTTTTTGTCCAGATTTTAGATTTGGCGAATGTTACTATTTTATACCCTAGTGCTATGTGCTTGCTATTGTCTAATCCTTTGTATATATCATACAGATAAGAAAAAGACTGGTCCCCAAAGAACTGTCCCAAACAATAAGAAAGTGGTTGAGCACCTTAACCAGTTAGTGTCTCATTGGGCTGAAGAAGGAAGGGTAAAATAGGAAGCTCACTCATCTACCACCACCACCATTCAAATGCAAAGATAACTAAAGATCCCATTTGCTTTTTTCTGGGAGTCATAAAGGGTAAAACCAACTTCAAAATCTAAATATAACCAGGAAACACTCTATTTCAATTCTGTTTTTATTTTTCCCAGAAGTCTGCATTGGTAAGAGACAGATAGCAAGGGAAGTTGTTAGGACGTAGTGAAAATATCTAGGCAAGTTCACTGGATACCTGCTGTTTATTTTTCTGTGTTCCACATCCTTATTTTAGATGACACATGAGGATGCTGACCACATTGTTATTTTCCACATGGGGAGGGGATGACCTGATTGAATTGGCTAATCAGAGTATTCTCTCCTCCTGAACACAGATTTGCCCAATTATTAACATGTGATCCAAATAAACACAGCATCCACTTGGCAGATTGATATGGACACTGTGGAATGTGGTGTGTGGTGCCAATCTGGAATGCTAGCTATGAGGGGAGGCCTGAGTTTGGTGGGACTGGTGAGCACCTTCTCAGAAGAAGGAAGAGAAATGCTTTGGACTTAAGCTGTCACCGAGGAAAGTACACAAAGAAGGCAGAATGAGGGAAACTTTGGTCATCTGAGTTTCCAGAGCTGGCTACGGTCAAAGTCAGCCAGCTCCTCGAGACCAATTATATGAGCCAAATGAATCTTTCTCTGCTGTCTTAAATGGCTAGTCTGATTTGGGATTTCTTTCTCTTTTGTCTGAAAGAGTCTCAAATAATGAATCAGAATTTCACATCAACATCTCCTAAATTGTTTGAGATCTTATTCAATGACAGCTAAAATTAATGGGCAAAATCATGACCTGATATTCTAAAATAATGAAGAAAATTCAAATATGCTTAACTTCATGTTTTTCCTTCTCTTTCTCTCCTCCTTTTCTGTTTCTTTCTTCCTTCTCAGCCCCCATATTATCCCCAAAGATGATTAATGAGCTGCTACTATTGTATCAGAAGGTAAAGGTTATGAATAGACATTCAATGTCAATAGTTAAACTTCATATTTTAAAAACTTCATATTTCCTCAGACATCAAGAAAGCTAAATAAAGTGGTATTTACCCCAACCACTCCACTACCTGACTAACACATTTCTTTTTCTAGAAGATTGAGTCACTTTTGTGTACGTTTTTGGCTGTTTGGTACTTGGTAGTGGTAGCCTATCTGAAAATTTGTTTTATTATCTGTAGTGAGAATTATGATATCTTAAGCAAGAATGTAAAATGAATACTGCATGTAAGTATACACACATTACCTGCATGTATACACACATATGCATATGCAAGCACACATACTACTTATACACATATATGGACACAAATTGCCTATACACACACATACATACATACATGTTTCCTAAATACATACACACAGGTACACACTGCTTACACATACACATACATGCACACAAAGTACCTACACACACATACACATATACTGCCTACACACATACACACTCATGCACATAATATCTATACACATACACACATACACACACATGTACACACTGCCTACACACACACACACACACACACACACACACACACACACACACACACACACTCTGCCTGTTCTAGGAGTAGGCGTTCAGTAAATGGTAGTTATTTTTATATTATAACTATCATATTACTTTCACCCACTATTTTTAGACTCTTGAAGGAGAATGGCATAAAAAGGTATTCTTACTCAGTCTTTAAGAATAGCTGTGGAAAATAGGACATTGCTAAGTAAGCAAGAACACTTGTGTCTCTGTCTCATGCCTACATTTGCAGTAATATGAATAGTCAACAAGATGAAATTTCTTTTATGGGACTCTCCATGTTTTCTATCCTTAAGCCAATGATTTCTTGCTTTCTCTGCTCGTTTTAAAGAGCCCAACAAAAAGATAAAACCAGTCAGGTGTGTGAGCACCCGTCGTAAAGTCCAAAGGGAGAGCCTCCTTACTCACAGGTTTAGCACACCTTTCTTAGCACAGAGCAAACCAAGCTTTAATGGGTTAACTGCTCACTTGACTGCAGATGTCCCTTAAGGGAGATTGTTACTGGACCTGGTAAAAGTATATATTACTCTTTCAGCATTGCTATTCGGGATACATGTATTTTTTTTCCCAGTGGCTTAAAAACTCTAAATTTGTAAAGTACAGAGCCAGGAAGGACAGAAGGAAGCTGGGATCAGATGGTGTAGGAAGCATCACCTAATGTCATTTTATCAGCTTTTCTTAGGCTGTGCATTTCTGGTTTGTTTACTACTTCAATGATTCAATGTCAGATATATATTCATGCCCACGGCAATGTTGATCCTTAAAAATAACTGAATATTTTAAAGTACAGAGGCTTTTTTTTGTAATCATGCACCATGGCCTTGAAATAACCTTTTATCTTTCTCATGCTAGGTATTCAAACAAAAACAACGTGTTTTTTTTTGTCCAGGTTCAA